GCCCTGGGCTCAGCTTCCAGGTCTGAAGCCTGGGTGAGAGAAAGAGCACAGGCACAGGACAGAGAGAGAAGCAAGAAAACGCAAGACACAGGGCCTGAGCCTGGAGGCAGTGCCCAGAGCAGGAGATGGGGTGAGGCAGCCGGCCTGGTCCCCGTAAGTAAAGACGGAAAGGGACCGGCCTCCTCCTCGACACTGAGACGACGGAAAAGGACGGGCCACAGAGGTGGCGGGGCAGGGAGACTCAGAAGCCTGGTGGCCTGGGGACTGGAAAGAAGGGAGAAGAAACAGTCGGGAAGCAGGAAATGAGCTAAGATGAAAAGGTCAAACCAAGTGAAACAGAGGCCGGGAGGGGCCAGACGGGAGAGGGGAGCATGCGGGGCTGGGAGCCTGTCTCCTGGCCCCCGTTGCCCATCCCCCAACCCCTGGGCCAGGGGGCTGTGACTTGCCCCACCGCCCTTCTACCGCGCATCTGGGGTGGGGTCTGGGGGCGTCTGGGATTTCTACTCCAAGAGTTGCACAAACCTTTTAAAGCCCACGGTCCCCAGGGACACAGAGATCAGAGTCAGAGGGTCTGCCAGGGGCTGGGGGGCGGGGACCTGAGACCCGAGGGCCCCTGGAGAGAGAAGTAAAGTGACAGAGAAGCAGGGCCCGCCTGGGGATCCCCTAGGGAGTGGCAAGGAGGGGCGCCTTTCCTGCTTGGGGTTACAGGGGAGAGGCGGGGCTCAGCTGGTCCATTCCCAACATGGAGCATCGAGAAGGGGCCCCTCGGCCCCATGCGGGTCCCCTGAGTTTGGGGACCTGCAGGAGGGACAAGATGCCCTGGGGTCTCTGGGAAGAAAGAACTTCTGTCTCTGCCCCTCCCCCAAATCCCCCAGGGAAGAAGGTGGTTGGCTTTTCTCCCGGGCCCCAGCCCCTCACAGTCCTACCTAACTAAGCAGCTTTAGCTAATAGCATTAAGGGAGGTCTCAGGACTAACCACTCTCCACTGGGGGAGAGATCAAGGGGACAGACCAGAGGCTTCTAATCAGATTGGGGATTCTGCAGAAGTGGGGGGGGGGGCGGCGTGCAGTTTGCTCAGTGTCCCCTGGAGGCCGTCACCTCTGTGTTCCCACTGTCCCCCTCTGGGCTGGTCTCCCCACTGTGACCCTTCAGCCCTCACCTGTGTCCACACACACACACACACACCGCAGAGCTGCCTCTCTGTCATTCCCTTGGCACTCTTTCTCTCGGACTCTGTCCCCCTGAATCAGTCGGGGACTCACCCACCAGGAAGGCTCCGTGGAGGTCAGTCAACCCGACCGTGCCGTCAGCCCAGGCCAGCCTCCTGGAAGGCCCAGCAGCAAAGTGACTCTCGATGCAAGTTTTGCTTTTCAGATGGGTAGGCAGTACGGGCCTTTACCGCTCAGCTTTTTTTTTTATTCGGAGTGTGTTCGTGTCTTTCTCATCCCCTTCCCGTCTGACTGTCGGTCCTCAGGCTTCCGGACAAGGAGCCCAGCACAGCTTAGGTTAGACCCGAGAGGCTCCTCCAGGGCCCCGGCCGCCACCACCCTCTCAGCTCCGAAGTTTCAGTCTCGGCCTCTCTGCCCTGATTGACTGATTACGGCTCGGAGCCCGGAGTCAGATAGACCTGTTCCCGAGTCCGGCTCAACCACCTGCACGGGGATCTGATGCAAGGCTCCCACTCTGTGGAGCGTCGATTTCCTCGGCTTGCAAAATGGGGGAAATAAGGTCCACGTCGAGGGCCTTGTGTGCGGATTCGGGGCACGACCTGTGGAAAGAGAGGGCTGGCCCGGTGCTGTGACACGACAAGGGCCCGTTTCTAGTAACTAAACTCTCAGAAAGATAAGATCTGCTCTGGACTTTTCCTCTGGCTCCAAGCCCAGAGAAGTAAAGTGTCGGAGAAGCAGGGCCGCCTGGGGACCCCCCCTAGGGGAGGGGCAAAGGGGGGCGGCTCTCCTGCTTGGGGTTACAGGGGAGAGGTGGGGCTTAAGGCCCGCTCTCCGTTGTTACCAGGCTCCTCTATATCGCGTTGTTAAATAATGACCTAAAACCTACCTGTGTGGTAACGAGCGCTCGTATTAGCCAAGCAGACCGACCATGTTATCAGTAACCAGAATGACGGGGGCGGTGACAATAATAATCGCTCACGGCTACGAGCCTTCAAACAACACAAAGCGCCTAACAGCAGCCCCTCTGATCATTCCAGATTGGGTTATGGTCCTCTTTGATTTATAGCTCTCCACGCTGACCCTCTGAGACCCCGCTGTCGCCGGGGCTGTAGGGGCTGCGAGAGCCGCCGGGCAGGGGGGCCCCCCAAGCCCTGCGAGCTCAGCTCACCACACGGGAGGGAGGGAGCTAGGGGCCCGGGGTGGGGGCTCGGGGGACAGAGCGGGTCACCTCCCCCGGCCTTGGGGTCACCACCACCAGAGCCGCAGGGTAAAATTGGAGCACAAGGAACCGAGGTGAAGCACGAAGGCCGCGACCGTCTGAGGGCGGGTCAGCTCCTCGGGGCCCAGGGCAAAAGGGGGGGCTGGAGGGGGGCCGTCAGGAAGGATTTGCCAGCAGCGAGGACTTCCACATCCCCGCCGCAAGTTCCTCGGAGACCCGGGGGGTCTTGGCGGGACCCCCACACGCATGGGGGAGACCAGGAAATGGGGAACGGCGGGGACGGGTGGGGCTTGACCTCACCCACTGATGCCACTTGTGGTTTTTGTATTTGGGGTTTTCTCCCTTTGGGGGCCAGAGGCGGGGTGTCGGTCGGTCGGTCGCCTCCCTGGGTGGCGGAATAGCACACATCTTGAATCAAGGTGTTGCTGTCGCTTCCGCTTAAGAGCTGTGTGACCTTGGAGAAGTTCCTCGACCCCTCTGAGCTCCTTGTGAGATACTCCCGCGAGCTTTCGGGGCGTGTGGGCTCCCTGGCTGGGGGCGGGGCACACTGAGGACCCCCTCCGTGGTGGGTTCATCATTCTCCTCGCGCCAGATCCTAAAGCTATCCTAAGGTCTCCAATCCTCCAGACCAGACACTGTGGGGGTCCGGCAGCACTGGGGAGGGGGGGGGAGGCAGCTGGAGGAGGCTACCGCTCCCTCCACGGAACAGTCTTCCCTTGGGACCTCTCACCCCAGCACCCACCCCCCCATTTCCCAACCCATTTTCCTAAGGTGAGGTGGAAGGGATCCCAACCCGCTTGAGTTTAGACAGGAGGAACTTGTCAACGGACAAGGCGGGGGAGGAGGGTGGGAGACGGGTGGGGGCCTTCTGTTTCGGGGGAGGTCGGGAAAGGGCAAAGTTCCAGAATGTCAGCTGTCAGTTTAGAGGCGGAAGGCTGGGCGGGAAGACCCCAAGTGGCGTGCACCCCTCACCACCATCCACCGGCATTTCCGGAGGTGCCCTCTGCTCCAGCCAGACCGGGCACCCCCAGGAGCACCTGCCCCCAAGGGGCCATTGGTTTGTCGGTTGACCCCCTGGAGCCTTGTCCCCTGGGAAAGGAAAAGCAGGAGACCAGATGACCTCTGGGGCGGGGGTAGGGGTGGAGAGGGCAGGGAGGGTCTCAGCAGCTGAGGTGTCTGACGTCCTGACCCCCAGCAACTCCCGGGGTACCCCGCGGGCTCTCGCTACTCAAAGCAGGGTCCGCAGGCCGGCAACATCGGTGTCACCGAAGAGCTTGTTAGAAATGCAGAGTCTTGGGTACCACCAAGTGCCTCCGAATCAGAATCTGCGTCCTGAAGAGATTCTCGGGATTCTTCCACCTTGGTGTTTGAGAAGCACTTCTATAGACAGGGGGTTCTAAGTCTCAAGACGACACAGCGTAGGAGCGGGGGCCGTGTGCGAGGGGTGGAGGTGTGGCCGCTGAGCCTGTGTGTCGGGTGGCTTTCCCTTTGTGAGCCTCGTCTGGAAAGTGAGGAGGCCACTCCAGGCAAGCCCTCACATGCCCTCCAGACCTGCCGGCCTAGTAAGTTCTGGCTGAGAGCAGGGCTCACCCCATCCCGACTTCCCCCCTCCCCCCGAGACGGAGCCCGGAGCCAGGTCCTGTAAGCCTCGCCACAGGGTCCTGACCTCACAGGTGACGCCTACCCTGGAGCGGGGCCCACACCCTGCATCTCCCCCAGGCCCTGTGGGCGCTCCCTCTGGGGTCATCTTCCCTCGGGGACGGGAAGCCAGCCCTCGGCCCGGCCTCAGCTCCATCTGGAAGGTCTGGGACAGGGACGGGTGCTCTCCTCCCGTGGCCTGCATCAGGGAGCTCACCCCCGAGTCCTCTCCCCATCTGGGCCACGCTGGGAACCAGCAAGACCCCTCCTTCCGTGGCGGGGGCCGGGGTTCAGTAACTCCACGGATATTTACAGAGTAGCTGGAGCCCAGGGCCCGTGCTGGGCTGGCCTGGGGCCCCTGACGGCGGGGAGCCACCACTCGGAGGCGAAGACAGACACAAGCACACAGACCCCGTCGACAGCCTCATTCCCACGCGCGGACTCCACCGCCAAGCACTTCACCGCCAGGCACCTGCGACGCGCCAGGCGTCTGCTGGGCCAGGGGCTCGCTGGGGACAGAGCAGGAAGACAGAGCAGGAAGCACACACCCCCCTGCTCGCCCGACGCCTGCAGCGGGTCCGGCTCCGTAAAGGTATGGGTGTGCGTATCTTCAGCCTGCCCCCGCTCGAGGTTTACGAAGAGCCCACGATTAATCACATTTTCTCTGGTCTTCTCTTGGGGAAAGCTCCAATCCTATTAAAGCCCTGAGAGGAGAGCGCGTCCTGTCTAACTCCCCCAGCGGGGGCAGGATATAGGACCCTCTGCCTTCCTCTGCATCCATATAAGTGGTCCCAGCCCCAGGTCTGCCCCTGGCCAGGGAGGACGTCCCCAGAGGAGGCCGGGCCCTGCCTTCCGTGTGGGGGAGCTTCCCGCCTGCCACCTGGTCCCCTGCCTCAGGGCCCCTCGTCCTTGTCATCTTCCTCTCTGTCCTCTTTTCTTTCCCTCATTCTTCACCTCCCTCCTAAGCAGTGACCGGCTCCCCCAGGCCCAGACGCGGCCCTCGCGGCCCCAGAGGCGACCATGCACTGCGGCTGCGGGGCCCAGGGCGTCCCTGTCGCGGGCAGCTCCTGGATCTCAGGTGAGCCTCTGCCAGGCCGCCCGCCCCGTCGAGGCCCGGCCGCAGAGGGGCGGCCCCGGGGGGCGGGGTTGCCCCCCTCCCCCCGCAGCGCTGTGGCACTCACGCCCCTCCCCCCAGGCTTGGCCTTCCCGGACTGGGCCTACAAAGCCGAGTCGTCCCCAGGCTCCCGGCAGATCCAGCTGTGGCACTTCATCCTGGAGCTGCTGCAGAAGGAAGAGTTCCGCCACGTCATCGCCTGGCAGCAGGGGGAGTACGGCGAGTTTGTCATCAAGGACCCGGACGAGGTGGCCCGCCTCTGGGGCCGCAGGAAGTGCAAACCACAGATGAATTACGACAAGCTGAGCCGGGCCCTCAGGTGGGAAGGGGCGGCCAGGCGGCCAGAGAGGTCAGGGCTCAAAGACGGGGCTGTGGGTGCTGGCAGCCCCGCCCCCCCCCAGGCTGGTGGGGTGCCCCGGGGCTCCCCAGGCTCACCGGCCGGGGGAGGGGCGTGGCCGGCCCAACTCTGCGTTCTCAACCTCGGAATCCGCAGGTATTACTACAACAAGAGGATCCTGCACAAGACCAAAGGCAAAAGGTTCACGTACAAGTTCAACTTCAGCAAGCTGATTGTCGTCAACTACCCTCTGTGGGAGGTGCGGGCACCACCTTGCCCCCTGCTGCTGGGGGCCCCTGCCCTGTTTCGGCCAGCCCTGGTGCCCATGGGCACGCCCGGCGAGGTAGGCACGGAGGCGGCCCCCCCTCCCCTCCGCCCAGGAGGACCCCAGCCCTCCTCTCTGCCTCGGGGGCCCCGGCAGTGGCCAGTGGTCTTCTCCCACTGCTTTCTGGTCCCCCAGCGCCCCCGGGGGTGGGGGCAGGGCCATCACCCTGAAACACCTTCAGGGGGTGCAGCCTGCGCCTGGGGGCGAGGGTGGTTCCTGCGGGACCCCTCCAGCGGGAGGACCCCAGGGAAGGGGGCGGGGTCTCAGGGAGGAGTCTGGGCATGAACCGGGGAACACAGGTCGCCGGCCAGCCCACGCCACCCTCACTCCTGCTTCTCCCTCCCCAGCTCCTGCACAGCGCGCTGCTCGCCCGTTGGGCCACAGTGGAGCAGCTGGCCGGGCAGCGGACCCCCCGAGGGCCGCCAGAGGCCTCTGAGGATAAGAAGGGGAGCGGCAGCAGTGCCCCCCGTGAGTGCTCGGGCCCGGGGAGGGCCCAGGGGATTGCAAGTGGGACCCTCCTGGCTGAGCCCATGGGCCAGAGGCTTGAGACAGGGAAAATAAAGTCATTCATTCATTCAACAAACTGAGCCCCAGCTATTCCCTAGGTGTGGGGGCTCAGAGGGGCTGGACGGCCCTCAAGATGCTCAGAGAGTGGAGGGAGTAGAGGAGGGACAGTCAGCGGGTGGTGTGGAGAGACTCGGGGAAGCGCCAGGCGCTACGGGAATGCAGAGATGAGCGGGCATCCCGGAGGAGGAGGCCCCTGCCCCCGGTGAGGCAGGTGCAGAAAATGCCCAGGCAGAGGGAATGGCGTGTGCAAGGCAGGGAGTTGTGAGCAAGAGTAGAGGCGCTGAGGGACCCAGTGAGTGGCCGTGGTCAGAGAGTGAGGGGTGGAGCTGGGTTGGAGGGGGCGTGAGGCGGGTACCGGCAGGCTTGGGAGGACCATCTAGGCAGAGGATGACGGGACCAGAACGAAGCACGGGAGGCAGGTGGAGAAGGAGGCTGTGCACAAGGGGGAGGGAGAAGAGCACAGCACGGCAAGCAGAGAGAGACAGTGTGTGCAAAGGCCCTGGGGCAGGAAAGAGGGACTAGGAAAGGCCAGCGTGGCAGCACTGGCGATCCCAGGGGGGTGGGTGGAAATGTAGGCAGAGGTCAGCTCTCCCAGGGCTGTAAACAGCGAAGTGACAAAACCAGACTGTCCGTGAGGAAGATCACGGACACGCCTGAGCAGCCAGAGGCTTCACACAGACGGCTCAGACCTGCCCCTCCTCTCCGGGCGACTTCACGGGAGAGAGACCCCGGGCCTTAGCCTTGTCCCCAGAGCCAGGCACCTCTGGGCCCCAGGGTGCAGCCGAGGCTGTGGGCGAGGGTGGCCCAGGGCCTGCTGGGACCCGCTCGGCCACCGGTCTGGCCCCTGGAGAGAGACAGCGCCTGCACGGCACCCCTGTGCTCCTACCCCCACCCCCCTCCTGGCTCCAGAAGTGCCCCGCACAGAGCTTTCTCTTTGGGGAACCGCGAGGGGGAAACAGTGTCCCCGGCGAGCCCCAGCTTGGAGTGGGCCGTCTGCACCTCCCTGCCCTCTGTGGGGACACACACACACACACACACAAGCTGCCTGGCTGAAGTCATCTGAAGGCTGTGCAGGCCCCTCACCCCACCTCCGCTCCGGGCACTGGTGCCAAGAGAGGATGCTTCTGGGTGGAAAAGTAGCCAGGCCTGCGAACCGGACGCAGAGGCTGCAGGCCCGGTGCTGGAGGGGGGGGGGGGCGGACACTCAGACCGTCTCCTTCACCTGCTCCTCAGCCCCCATCTGATGTCCGAGGGCGGACGCAGCCCCAGACCCAGGGAGAAGGGCAGTGACCCCGGGGGCGGCTCGGGGTCACCTTTGCCTCATGCAGGACCCTGTCCACTGGTTTCCCTTCGTGGGTGCGACTTCAGAACCATCGTTCCTTCCGAATACGTCGGGCGTGTTAAATAATAACGAATTCGCCTTTCCGGTTTTCATTCACTACAGCCCCACCGATGTGATGACATTACTCTTCTAGTTCGATGATGTGGCCTTGCTAAGAGAGGACTCGAGGGGTCGGAGTTGGGCTTTTGGAAATAAGGACAGTGCCAGGAGGTTGTGCTAGTCGCCCCGAGCCCCGGCCCCCGCCCCGGGGTTTTGGGCGCCAGGTTGCAGGATGCCCGCAGGGCCGGAGGATCTGGAAGGAGGGGCGGAGGGAAGGATCCTGGGGGAGCAGGCCAGGGCCCAGCCGGCCGAGAAGGCGAGGCCGGGCCCCCCACGCGTTGGCCTCCCACTTGACCTTCGCCAGCAGAGGGGCCGGTACAGATGAGGAGACCGGGGCCTGGATTTCAGGGACAAGCTTGGGGCCACAGGCTAGAGCCAGAGCCCTGCGCTACAGAGAGTGCAGACAGGACTCACTGAGTTCCAGCAGTGTCCTCACCCAGTCATCCCACACGCTCATCCTGAGCTCTTAGGAGGCACCAGGCGGGTCCAGGGGACAGGGATACAGGCACGGTTCCGGCGCGCACAGAGCCGGGGGCGCAGACATTCTGGGGGTAACCACGCTCATCGGGCCAAGGGCCCAGGAGGAGAGGGGTGGGAGCCACAAGGGGGACCCCCAGGCTGACCTGTCTCGCCCCCAGGGAATAGACCCGAAGCAAAGGAAACAGGATGGGGCACAGCAGGGAAAGGAAGTTTCCAGCAAGAGGAAAAGGAAATAGGAAGTAGGTGGAGAAGGGAGATCCCTCCTGACCCTCCCTCCCTCTCTCTCTCTGTCTCTCTGTCTCTCTCTCTCTCCCCAGGCCTTGGCTCTCTCCCAGCCCCCTGCCAGCTTGGCCCTTGCTGCCTTCTGGGGAGCCCCCGAGAGGAGCTGCTGGGTCGGGCCTCCTTGGCCCCTCCTCTCCTGCCTTCCCTCCCTTCCGATTGGACCCGCCTCTCAGGGCCCTTCCTGCCCCCTGTCCCCCCAGAGCGGCTGATCCCGGGGACCTCCAAGCCAGACACCCTGCTGCCAGGGCCCGGCTGCCCCCCAGCGACCCACCACTTTCCGGGGCTCCCCTTGTTGGCTGGGCTGGGACAGGGGGCCGGCGAGAGGATCCGGCTTTTGCCCCTGAGGCCCCCGGGGCTGGAGGTAAAGCCCTATCCCATGATGGGGGCAAAGGGATGCCTGGACCCCAGGGAGGGCTTCTCCTCAGAGATACACAGACCCAAAGCCGGGGACGAAAGCCCCGTGTCCCCCCATCTGGAGAACTTCAAGGCAGCGTGGCCCTTGGATCCTCCTTAACTGGGGAGAAGAGGGGAAGTGGGGGGTCCCCCAAAGTCCATGCCTCCTCCTGTGTATTTCCTTTCTGGCTTTGCACCTTCCCCGGCCTGGAAACAGGTTTCAATTGCAGGAGGCTTTGAAGGGGAGGAGTTGGACAAAAGGGGGTGGGGGACATGCCGGGGGATGGGGACTGAGGCAGGGTGACCCTCCCCTCCCCTCCCCTCCCACCAAATTATGAATCAGATTAAGGAGGCATCCTTAACCTCAGCTGTCCTCAAAGGAGATGAGCATTCGGATTCTGTCGCTTGAGCGCCCCCAGCCCCACCTGCCCACATGACGGAGAAAGCGAGCATCTGGGGAGCCCCTGCCCCCTCATCCGGGCTGAGGCCCCAGTCTCTCTCCTGCCCCTCCGTGCGCTTCGTCCTCAGCCCTCTGGTCTCTGTGACCCTGGGAGCTCCTGTCTTGCGCGGGCACTTCCTACAAGCCACCGTTTCCCCAAGACGCCAGGCAGTGGGGCAGGGAGGACCCGGCCTCCTCAGCTCTGTAATTCTCCCCGCAAATAAAACAACCTTGGCCAACCACACTCGGCTGACCGTCCCACCGCGTCCCTGCTGCCCTGAGCTGCTGTGGGGCTACACGTCACCCCAGGCACTCGCGGGAGGGGGGGCAGGGGACAGGGTGCTGCCATCATCCCCCAGAGAGAGAAGCTGGCAGACGACGTGGTCTGGAGCCACCTGTGCTGCGTGGGGACCAGCCTCAAGGACAGAACCCGAGCAGAGCGGGGCCTGCCGTGGACCCGTGAGCAGAACCAAGGGGGCAGCGGGTGAAGGGGGCCCTTCGTCTGTCCCCAGCCCTCAGAATGACCAGAGGAGCTGAGGAAGCATGGGGCAGCCAGGGGAGGGGGCCGTGTGAGGGACGGGCTTTTGCTCAATGAAGGAAAAGCCAACAGGGCAGAATGTTCCAGGAGCCAAGACCAGTGAACCGCATCGCTCTCCTGTCTCTGGGCCACCGACTACAGGTTTAAGACTCGTCTCCACCTCCTGTCTAGGATATGAGGAGGCACAGAGGTCCCCGTGTGTGTGTGTGTGTGTGTGTGTGTGTGTGTGTGTGTGTGTGTGTCTGCACTGGGCTTGGGGGTGGGCGCATTTTGCTTTCTGCCACCTGCTGTCCTTCCTTGCGGCAGATGCCTGGTGGCCTCCAACAGAATGGGGGAGGAGAGGCCCAGAGCAGGGCGGGGCCGGGCCCTCACCCCGGGGAACCCTGGATACAGGCCCCGGGGTCTCCCTCCCAGGAGCTATCGGGGGTCCGTGAAAACCCGCTTCTCACTTGCTCCCAAGGCGCAGGCCGATCCCCAGCCCAGCGGGAAGGAGGAACCACCAGCCCCGGGCCTGCCCCTCACCCTGCCCGATTTGGGAGACAAACCAGGTCTCCTCTGACACAAGGAACCGGCTCGCGCTGTCAGGGGGCCTGGGCCCTGTTCAGAGAGGCCAACCCCCCCCCACCACCACGCCCCGCCTCGACAGGGTCCCGTACTGAGGACCCCATGTACCCTCTGCAGGGCACACGGTGGGTGAACCCGGGACACGGCCACAGCGGGTCCAGAGGACATAAACTCCCAGGGCGCGTGCCCTGCTCTGCTCTGCATAAACCATTTTCTCAACCTTGGCAGTGTGGACATTTGGGGCTGCCTCGTCTTCCCTTCTGGAAGCTGTCCTGGGCGTTCCAGGATGCTTAGGACATCCCCGGCCTCCAGCGGCACCCGCCCCCAGCAGACGCAGTGAACTGTCCCCCGGGGGAGGAAACCGTCCCTGGTTGAGGGTGGCTTCAGGGAGTCCAGATGTTCTGGCAAAGCTGGGCCCTGCGCTGTGCCAGCACAGGAAGTACGAGGGTTCCGTGGTGCGAGAGCGCCCTCTGGTGGCCAGGGCCTCCACCGACGCCCGGCGTGGGGGGAGGACTAGGTGTGAGGTGACGGGGCGCCTTGGGGTCTTTTCAGATTAGGGATTCGCAATTTCACACTGTGAAACCCTCCCACTTCAAACCCCCTTGGCTGATCACGGAGGAGCCCCCAAAGGCTCCGCAGGCCTCATGTGACAGCAGACAGCAGGTGAGCAGCTCCTTTGGGACAATCGAGTACAGCCATCAACCCTGGACCTCACGCTCCCTGGCCGCCTGTGGCCGGAAGGGCACAGAGTGGATACTCGGCCCTCCTCCAGCAGCAGCGGGAACCAGGACGAGACACGCAAAGTCAGTGCATCAACCATCCTTCCTCCTGGACGCTCCGTCGCACCAAAAACAGGGACACTCGTGGGTTCGGGCAGGCTGAGGAATCACAAACCCGAGCTTCACGAAGGCTGGACTGTTGGGAGCCGGAAGGGACCTTTGCGAGAGAGGAAGACACCTGCCCCAAGTCACGCGTGTGGAGGGGCCACGTGTAAAACCAAAGTCCCCCAGGTATCAGGGACTGTTCATCCCACCTCACCACAATCACGTGGACTGAGAGCTTAAGACGCCCCCGAATCCCTTAGAAACGAGAGTGTATTACCTACGGAGAAGGAAATTTTACGTCGTTCCTGCGTGATTTTTACTATGGCCGCGGTGGAATTCGACAACAAAAGCGAGTCATTTGCTGCCCTGAGTTGTCAGTGGCGGTGAGCTCCTTCCCTCCCCTCCCCCTCTTCGTCCCTAATGAGGACCCTGCCCAAGAGCGGGGGTAAACGTTCAAGGGCCGCGGGTGTTACGTGCACACACACACGTGTGCGCGCTCACACGTACGCACACGTACGTACGTAACTCAACAAACGCTGCTTAAACACCTGCTGCGCGCCGGGCACCGTGCTGCCTGTGGCTCGGGTAACCACCCTGGAGATACTTTCCTCTGTGAACGTCGGAGCCCCGGACGCCAGGGGGGAGCCGAGAAAGGAGGAGGGTCTTCGGGTGAACCGGGGAGGGGACGGGGCCTTGGCAGTCACTGCGGGAGCTCCGAGCGTGGCGTGCCTGAGGGGCAAGCTTCTTCCTAATGTTCGACACCAATTTAAAGATCAACTTTGCGGGGCGCCCGGGGCACTCGGTCGGTTAAGCGTCCGACTCCGGCTCAGGTCGTGATCTCGCGGTCCGTGAGTTCGAGCCCCACGTCGGGCTCTGTGCGGACAGCTCGGAGCCTGGAGCCTGTTTCGGATTCTGTGTCTCCCTCTCTCTCTGCCCCTCCCCTGTTCATGCTCTGTCTCTCTCTGTCTCAAAAATGAATAAAACATTAAAAATTAAAAAAAAAACTCAAATAAAATAAAATCTTCTAAGGGATGCCTGGGTGGCTCAGTCGGTTAAGCGTCCGACTTTGGCTCAGGTCGTGATCGGCTCAGGTCGTGATCTCGCGGTCCTGAGTTCGAGCCCCGCGTCGGGCTCTGTGCCGACAGCTCGGAGCCTGGAGCCTGTTTCGGATTCTGTGTCTCCTTCTCTCTGACCCTCCCCCGTTCATGCTCTGTCTCTCTCTCTCTCAAAAATAAATAAACGTTAAAAAAAAATTTTTTTTAATACCTAAAAGTAAATCTTAAAGCATTTCTCTTTTTTTTAATGACTTTTTTTTTTTAGTTATTTACTTATTTCCAGGAAGGGAACGAGCAGGGGAGGGGCAGAGAGAGAATCCCAAGCGGGCGCCACAATGCCAGCGCAGAGCCCAATGCGGGGGCTCGAACCCACAAACGGTGAGCTCCCGACCTGAGCTGAGATCAAGAGCTGGCGGCTTAACCCGCTGAGCCACCTGGGCGCCCCCGGGAGGCGTTTCTAATCCCCGCACACAGTCAGGCAACATGTGCCAACGGCTTGTAAAGTCACCAAAACACATCCCAAGTCCGTGATCGCTTTTCTGCGTGTTACTTCATAAACAGCTCACCGCGCGCGCTCGGAGCCCACGTTGGCCCGCTCGCCACGGCCGACCGTTGGGTCACGCGGCCACGGCGTGTATTTAAGCATCAGCCTTTCCGTGGCCTTCTAGGTTGTTCCTCTTTCTTTGCTTTGTAAATACAATGGTTTCAAAACCTTTGTCCCAAGTTGCCTTGTTTTGTTTTTTTTTCTTTTTTGAATTAATTCCTCGAGATACCTCCTCAGGAATGAAATTACTGACTCAAAAACCATGACATTTGAATGGCTTTAGATGCGCACTGCCCAACCGTCCTCAGGAAGGGTTGTAACAGTTTTGAAAGCCACGTCTCCGCACCACTCGCTAGGAACCGTGCTGTGTCTCACGCGAGGCCTACGGCAGGCAGCTGGCGGGGGGCGGGGGGATCGTCATCACGCTTCCCGGATGAGAACATCAGGTGTGGACGGGCCAGCCAGCTCAGGGCCGAGCCGGGGTGCACTTGGCAGCGGGCTCCACGGCCCGTGCCCCCCCCCCGCCCCCCACCAGGCCAGCCGAGAGTGTCAACTCAACTGCAAAGGACGGGCTCTCCCCGACGGGGCCCACCCGGCTCAGTGAGAGAAGTCTGTTCCATCTCTGCCGTCGTCTTCGGTCGGTCTTCAGTCAACGGTGAGGGCAATCGAACATTTGACCGCTGTCTCGCTGTTTTTAATCTGTACCAATACAATATCTAAAAGACGCTTTAGGGGCACCCGGCTGGCTCTGTCGGTGGAGCGTTGGACTCTTGATCTCCGGGTTGTGTGAGCCCCACACTGGGTGTGGAGATGACTTAAGAATAAAATCTTTTTGGGGGGCGCTTGGTGTGGCTCAGTCGGTTAAGTGTCCTACTTCGGCCTAGGTCATGATCTCGCCGTTCCTGAGTTTGAGCCCCGAGTCAGGCTCTGTGGGGACAGCTCGGCTGTGTTCTGCCCCTCCCCCACTCATGCTCTCTCCTTCTCCGTCTCAAAAATGAATGAAACATTAAAAATTAAAAAAAAAAACTCAAATAAAATAAAATCTTCCAAGGGATGCCTGGGTGGCGCAGTCGGTTAAGCGTCCGACTTCAGCCAGGTCACGATCTCGCGGTCCGTGAGTTCGAGCCCCGCGTCGCGCTCTGGGCTGATGGCTCGGAGCCTGGAGCCTGTTTCCGATTCTGTGTCTCCCTCTCTCTCT